ACTTCACAGGCATCACGTCTGGGGAGAAGACTGGCCCAGTCAGGGACACATTCAATTCTATGGACTCTTCTCAGACCCCCTCCCTCCCCAAATTTTGCCTGACCGTATCTGACATAATTCTTGTGTTCCATGTAACCAATCATGTAATAACCTACTATCAGCTTTGAACTTTCCCCTGCAAACCATATTTAAACTGAACTCAAACTTGACTCGGGTCTGGTGATTTGAACCTCCAGGTTCCCTAGCCTGCTAGCATAGTAAAAGTTGCCTTGAACTCCTTATGCAGAGTCATCCCTTTGATTTTTTGGTGGTTTTTCTGCAACATTGTAACCTCACTTGAGGATGTGTATCCAGAAGTACTGAATTCAGGATCATGAGAAGGCAGTAGCGTTCCCATGTTTGCCTTGTGCACAATACCAGAGAGATTGAAACGACCCCTCAAAGAGCTAAAGCATAGAATTTGTAGAGTATGGGTCTTAATGTTTTTTCTTAGGCATGGTGGAGAATCCTAGCTCAGCCCATGATTATTGAGATACTAGATTTTTTTTTTCAGAGAGTTATGGATTCATTAACTCTCCTCTATGAGAGAAGTGCACCTTGTGTTAAGAAGAAACCATATTTGAATAACTGGAGTTACTTAGCTCTCCGGGGTTTGTGTAGACATCTTCTAAATCAAGTTGAGCATTTTCTGACTCCTGAGGATTACTCCTGAGCAAGCCTGACAAAATATGTGATTGCTGCCCCAAAATGGTGTTGGAAATTGCTCTGTTACCTTAAGTATGCATCTACTTTAGTTATTTCTTTTGGTTTTAAAATTAAAGTTGTGTCACATCCCCTGTAAACCATTTTCAGAGTAGTAAAATGTCTTCTCCAGCTGAGCATGGCGGTGCATGCCTTTAATCCTAGAGCCCTGGGAGCCTGAGGCTTCCTAAAACACGAGAACATTTCTTCATACACATTCTTTCTTATGTTATCGATGTTGCCTTTATTTAGTCGCTGAAAATTTTTGTCAGTTTGGTAGACTAACATAATAATTTTGATTCTTGCCTTAGAATGCTTGTGATCGGCTGAAGGTCATACTTCTAATAAATGGCTGACTGACACTAGAATCAAAATCAGCCGCTGTTTTCCTTTTAAATAACTAATCCCACAACTTTGTAGTTTTTCATCCACCTAAATACTTGGAACTAACATAACTGTTTACTTTGGAGCAGGTCAAATTATTTCTGTTCTGGTTTATTCAACAGAAACGTTTGAGGTAGCCAAGTAACCTGTAATTGTGAATGGAGTTCTGCATTATTTGTCAGTATCATTAAATTACATTGGGCAAGTTAAAAACTTCTTGTTTAAGATGATGTTAACATATTTCGATAGACTTAAAACATGGTGATAATTTTTTAATAACAAGGTGTAGGCTCAAACTTGGTTTTACTTTCACATGAATTGAACCCCTCTTCTGTATAATTAGAGAATAGGCCATAAATTTCATAATGCTTATTTTAACTCTTTATCATTCACAACAGGGATAAATATGGATGAATTCAATGCCTTCTCATCTAGGTGTTTCTCTTTTCATAAACTGCTCTAAAACTATCAATGTAAATATAGGTGGGAAACAAACAACACCAGAGTGTTTTTTAATTGCAAAAGTAACAGGCATCTTGGTGAAACTGATTGTAGTGGTGAGAATGTTTGTCTATTGAAATCTATTCTCCTTTCCTTCTTTCTTGTAGTATTTTGATGCCTTTAGTCTAGCACTCATCATAGCACTATATATTGCATATATTTGATTCTCTTTCCAGTTTTTCCACTATAATGTGACCCTGGAGAGCGGGGTCTACTTGTTACTCATCTTTCGTATCATTTAGAGCCTGAGACATAATAGTTATAGATGTTATTTATTTAATGCAATTGTTGGGATCAAACTCAGAGCCTTATGCTCTCTATCACTGAGCTACAGCCCCATACCTCAATAGATAAAAATATTGAATTCTGCCATTGGTAAATAATACCGTGAAGAAAATTTCTAAGTCATTCTAGTCATCTTTAGTTACTAAAATTTATTTCTTGGATTTTTACATTACTTCAGTGGATCAGTTTTTACATAAAAAAGATTCCACATACTTGTTAATTTTGTTTATAGAGTTGTTTTATATACTCAGAGGATAATTACTGATAGTTTACCATCTGTTTCTATTAATCAGTCTTCTCAATCTCCCTAATCAGTTGTTTTATGCTACATTTTATATGTAAAATAATCTCTCCCTTTTGGCTTCTGATGGTTTTAATATGTAGAGAATGTGTAATATATTATGTGATCTTTTACAAGTTATGTTTGTAGCATAATTTTGACCTGGGAATCACTTCTTATAAAGTATTGTAAGTGATAAAATGAGACCTACTTGTTAGTCGTTTTTGTAAAAACTCTTGGTTTGCACTGTCTCTGAAACTTAGCCCCTCCTACTCCAAGTAACACAGACTTTTTATATTTTATTTTCATTCTAATGCAAGTGGAAAATTAGTCTTTCTAAAATGCTTACTGTATTCCAGTATTTGATGAGCATTATTGTGTATACTTCAAAATTTGTTGGTAAATATTATAAATACTTGTAAATGTAAAGCTAAATTTGCAAAGTGGTAAGATATTTTTATAAGTACTATCATATGAAGAAGTTGCTCATCAAAAATGTAGTTGTTTTTTTCCAAGGCTGTGAGTGCCCCTGGTATGTGCTCATTTTTGTGACCCAGGGCTTTGATTGTAACAGCTGTGTGGGTCAGGAGCAAGGCTTTTCTCTGTTAAATGTAGGGGACCCCTTAAATATCCCTTTCATCTCAGATACCCCATACCCGCTCCTACTCCACAAGATGAAAAACAAAATCTGACCTGAAACTAGTTTGATATTTTTGAAAATGCAATAAAGATTTAAAACATTAACATCAGGTTATTAGAATAGACTTTTGGGTTGAAAAAAGAGACAAAACTTCTCTAAAAAGAATAAATAAGACTAAACTTTTCAAGTAAGTAACCAGGTGTTGTTGAAGAGAGACTATAAACTGATTTAAAGAAATTATCCATACATACAGAGAGAAGACATGGAAGCAATTAAACAGTGTTAAATTCAGAAAGAGACTGTCTAGAAATGTTTAGTGGAATGCCCAGAAATATATAGAATGGAAGACAGGAAATAATTGTAAAATGGCTAAAATTATCCGGAACTGAAGAAAGACAGATCCTCAGATTTAAGGTACATGGTTAACTCCAAAGAAGATAACACAGTAATGAAATTTAAAACACCAAAGATGAAGCAAAGATCTTAAACGTAGCCACAGAGAGATGAGAAGTTAGACAACGTAAGAACAGAGTGACAGCAGCTTTCTAAAAGGATCAGTGTCCCGCTGGAAGTCAGAAGCTAACATATTAACATAGTTTAATGTACAACCAGGGTGCATACAGTATTGTACTCCATATATCATTTGTTTGAGGTAAGGTTGTAATGAGTATCTTTGCTGCCGTCAAAAAGTATTTCCCCTCCAGAGAAATTCCCTGAGTGCTTTAAACTGGCATGGAGGATACAGGTGTCTAGTTTCAGCAGGTGGTTAGGGTCCCCTAATGAGAATTGGAACAGTTTCACTCTATTTCAAATATGTTCTTAAACAGCTCACCCTGGAGTGTGGAAAAATTGGGGTAAAGTTTTCACTGTGGAAATTGTGGATTTTTTCTGCTGGTTTGTTATTAGCATCTATAATTTTAGCCTAAGTGGAGCAAAACATGTATTGCTGACCTTTTATTTAGCTGCTCTAGTAGTCTGAACTAGAATTTTCCATTTAAGTAAGCCAAAGAATACACAATACATAAGGAAAAGTGACCGCTTGTTTTCCTCTTTCCCAATTTCAGTTACACATATCATTAATTTTAATTTCAAAGAAAGGCAGCTTCTTACTTTGTCAATCAATTCTTGATATGGATTTTAACTGTCAAGTCCTTTCATCAGTCAAAGGCTCCAGCCTTTTTTTGTCCTGGCTGGAAAACCCTTAATGTGAGGAGCCTGTCACATTATCCTAGTGACTTCAGCCAAGTATCTGTGGGCTTGTGGATTTGTAGTGTTCACTCTGAGGTGTTGCTAAGGTTCTGTGCATTTCTCTGAAAAGAGAAATGATAGAAGTGGCACCAGCAGCCAGATGTACCATTCCAGGAGCAGAGAAATCTTCAAGGCGTCATTCGGCTGCAGAATCGAATCCCAGAGCAGTATCAGGAGAGAGAGAAAAGCTTGGGTGGAGAGGAAGCTAGTTTTACGTGACTATTTCAGCATTTCTAAAGTTTCGTTTTCATCCCACTGGCACAACTTTTATATTAGTTATGTATTGTCTAGGTTATTTATTTAGATTTTAAATAATCGTAGTCATTATTCCTATTTATTTGTGTTTATTAGTACATTTGCAGACATACTCTATAAACTGTGGGGGGGTTGTTACATATACCTAACACACCTGAATTTTTTTTATTTCTCCTTCCCTTCCCTTCTCTACCCCCAAATCCCTACTCCATTTCTTGATTCCCTTCCTATTTGCAAATAAAAATGAAATTCCATAATACCTGGCAAAAAGAAAGTACTTGTAAAAACCTATTAAAAAGGGAAACACAATAGCTGCATCCTGCCATTGAGCCGGAAGACTACCTTCTCTTACAAAGAAGGAGAAACAAGTGCTAACAAATACTGCGAACATGTCAGCACCATCCCGTCTCCCCTTGTGCTGAATCAGAGGGATTGAGGAAGACGCACAAAGGAAATAAACTTGATCTGTAGGTGATTCTGTATTCCTTGTCTTGTGCTACGTAGCATGACTTTGCTTCCAGCGTTGTCACAGATGAATGTGAAATGATCCAGACAGGTTACAGTGACTGTGTGTGTTTCTGAGTCTTTGCCTTTTAGTGTTTATTATTTAAAAGATACTGCTCTTTATTTCCTATATTGAAGTTATTTTATTTTTTTTCTTTAAAGCTCTTTTGAGAGCCTGTGCTGATGGAGGTGCCAACCGCTTATATGATATCACCGAAGGAGAGAGAGAAAGGTACGCTTCCCTTAGCCAGTGTCCACGCACTAACTTCTGTTCATCTTTGTTCTGTTATCTACTTCGTAAATGGACGCTAGTAATTTTCTCTCAGTGTCTTTTACAGAAAACTATCTCAGGGAGAGAGAGTTGCTTAACCATGTTGTACTATTTCTTTAAATGGAATCTGTTAGGCCCATCTATTCTTTTTTTAAAAGCCCCCTGCTACTTCTAAGCCTCATTAAATAGCATTATCAAATATCAATATTTGTGAGGATTTTGAACATTGGCTAAAATAAAGCTTCATCCAGCACTTGGAGTTTTATTCAGACACCTTAAATGAATACAAACTGATCTCATATAAAAGAAATATATTCTGTTATAGATAACGTGAGATTTTATATTAATGTAGGGTATGGCTGAGAATAAGTTACTCTAACTTAATTACTTCTGAGTTATGCTCACAGATGTATTTAAGGGATAATGTAGTTTATTTCTGGATGATTTGCTGTCTGCACTGTCTGCTTTTCTTGATCTGTGTGGTGTGCTATTTTTAGCTGAGAGAATATGTTTAATGGAAACAGATTTTAAACCTAGCACGTTGCAAACGTGTTTGTAGTCCAACCCCTTGGCAAATCCAAGAATTTATGGTGTACATATAAGTAGACTAGCTGTGAAATGTTGTTTCACCTCTGTCATGTGTTATTAAATATATTGAAAGGTTTATAGTTTGGGAAGTCATCTACTTGCTTCAAAAAACAAAATAAAAATATTATGATGCAGCATACCCTAGGCGTGCATTAAATATATGTATTTTGAAATGATATTTTTTTCTTTATGGCATCAAAATGTTTACCTTCAAGTTTCTAATACTAGAGCTGCCTTTGGAAAACAGTTGATGCTTACCAGGAGGGAGGCATGTTTCCTTTGAGATCAGACGTGCTAGCACAAATGCCTGGGTGCCGGACACATTATCAAAAAATACTTAAATGGTGGCAGCCTTGGGTACAGTTTAAATTCATAACATATTTTGGTCCATTGTTTTCTAACTTTGTAAATTCACATGACAGTATTCTCTAAGATCGCATGTGGACAGTGTGTGAAAAAATTCTCTAAAAATATTGTAAAATATGCTTTAGTTAGTTCAGGTGCACAGTGCTCATGAGACCCAGATTTTGAGCTGGGATTTGTTTATTCCACACCTCTGCCCTGCTGGCCGGTAAACAGCGGAGTCCTGAGGCCTAGTTCCCGAATGGTAGGTGTAGCTTGTCGACAGAATGATAGCCAGAACTGTGAAAGGGTATTAACCTAGTATTTTCCTACTGTTACTTGATCATCAGAATCATCTAAAATGTTTGTGGAAAAAAATAGAGATTTTTATATTCATTATTTTTGTTGGCTTGGACCAGACATTAATAAGGTAGATAATGGGGAACATGTTTATTCACATTTGAAAGGAAAGCAGATTATCATATCGAGGGAGCGAGTATGATTATCTTTGCCATTACCAATTTCAGAATGGTATGTTTAAGATTTCTCAACATATTTATGAGTAATCTTGTAGAAGCCTTCCAAGAAGATTAATGTAATTTATCTAATAACCGTTTCTCCATATATGAAGATGTTCAATAAAACAGTGTACTTTGCATTGATTTTCTTCGTGTAATGATATCCTTGAAATGATTCATATTCTGATGCCTTGGGACATAGCGGGCCCGGGTAAGGGTAGAGTCTCTGATAGGGAGATGAGTGAATCTAACTGCCTCAAGTGGGAATTAAATCTTTGGAATAAATCTCATTAAATCCAAGCCCTAACCAGTTAAACTAATTGGATACAGGTGACTAAACATAATTCCTCTTAATTGTATTTTTAACAGAAGGCCTTCACAATAAAAGAGGAAAGAGATTCATGTGTGTTAAAGACACAACGTGTAGTTTCTGGACTGGCTGCTGCTTGCCTGTTCTCATTTATTTATTTACTATTGTATATGCAGTGTAAAGCTGTGTAGTTATGCAACAAGGCATGCATTTTTAAAGAGCTAACTCCATGTGAGGACAAAATGAAATATTTATGCGTGTGGAATGGAAGGAAGGAAGACTGGTACGGAGAGGGGCCCCAGGATGGGCTGACAGAGAGCTGAGGGAGTCATTAGGAAGAGACTGTTCTTCCGTCTACTTAGGCTGAGGAAGGAGAAGGCCTGCGATACCGCGCCTTTCCTCATTGTACTGTGGATGCCTGTGGACATTCAGAGTTAGGTCTGTCTCTCTTGGGGCTGGGACCTGGAAGAGCTTGAGTAGGACCCAGCTGTGTTCCGGGCCCTGGCCTCACCTCCTAGCTGCCTGTACAACTTCAGTCTCAGCCGGAAAGGGAAATTTGAAATGTAGCAGGTCATGGGGGACAGAAGCCACCGGGAGTGTGGGATGATCCAGGGCTCTGTGGCTGCAGAAAGCACACTCCACACCGGCACTGAGACCAGGGGCCCGGTGGAGGAGACTGGACGAGAAGGTGTCTGAGGACTGAAAGGGAGAGTTTTCCCAAGAGTGTGGTGCTCACCTGGGTTAGACGCCCCCAAGAAGCCTCGTGAAGACTCCAAGAAGGCGTTGCATGTGGCTTTTATCAGTTAGTACAAAGGTCGTGTCTACTTACTCTGAAGCCCCAAAAGTCTAAGAACAGGCCCTAGAAATGCCACTCTAAGTCCCGTTTGAAAAGGAGAGATGGGTTTAACATTCTTTCGTTACCCACTTCGCACATAATGAATTAGTAGCCTGAAAGCATCAAAGTTAAATAGTTTTTTTTTTTTTTTTCAGATTCAGACTCCTGGCTTCTGCATAATAGATGAGTTTCACCTCATTGCAAATGTTACTCTTTTTTGGTGTTGAAATCACTCCATCTTTGGCCAAAATGAACTTCTTTAAGTTAGATCCTAGGTCTCTTTTTGAAAGTCATACAATTAAAAAACATGTAAGTTTCAGATATTAGTAACATGTAACAAAAATGTGTACCTTATAGGTGTTTGATTATGTGGGTATTGTTTCAGACTTCTGTATGACCTGTTACCTACCATTCCATACTAGAGAAAGAACATTTTTCTGATTCCAGAAAATCACTCATGTTCCCTTCCAGACAATTTCTTACCCTCATGCAACAGCTTTCTGATGTGCATCGTTATGAACTTATTTTCTGTGAATTTCATACAAAAGAAATCACACAGTATGCATACTCTTTGTATCTTGTTTCTGTTGTTTAGCTCAATGTATTTGTGTTTTGTTTTTTTTTTTTTTTTGGTTTTTCTCCGGTACTGGGAACCGAACCCACGACCTTGCGCTTGCCAGGCAGGCGCTTTTGCCGCTGAGCTAAATCCCCAGCCCTAGCTCAATGTATTTGACATTGATTTATGTATCCATAGTTCCTTTTCACAGTCAAGTAATATTCTATTACGTGGATATACCACTGTTGTTTTATTCGTTTACCTGATAGACATTTTGAGTTATTTCTAGTTTTTGGTTGTTTTGAATAATGCCACTTTAAATATTTTTGTGCAAATGTTTCAGTATATTGGGAAGAATGAAGCTTCTGGGTCATAGGGTAAATGGATGTTTAACTTTCTAAAAGTTAACAAATCAGTTTTTCAAGGTGCTGGTCCCATTTTCATTTCTGGCAGCTGTGTCTCCATTGTTTCATATGCCCACTCATACTGATTCCTTTTCACCTTTTTTTTTCCATTTTAGCCATTTATTGTCTGTGAATGAAATCTCATGATCTTAATGTTCCTTTCCCAGGTGACCAAGGAGGTTAAGCCTCTTTTCCTGTACTTCTTGACTTTCTGAATGCTTTGATTTGTGACTCATCCTTCTATTCATGATAATTAATAACATAGTTCTTGCTAATACTAATAAAAAATGAGTTATGGCCTAAAATCCAATCCCTTACTGATTGCTTGAAAACATTTTTGTACCATCTTTATTTAAATATGTTCTTAAAGTTTAGCAAGAGCACTTAAAATTAGACCTGCCCTCTTCCTCTTTGTGGGCATTTGAATACATTATTGTACGATGTTGTGCAGCAGATCTGTAGCGCTTGCTTGTCTTGTTTAACTAGCATATTATAAAATATTGTGTCCGTCAATTGAGAATGCCCCATCTCCTACTTCCTTCTATGCCTGGCAACCACCATTGCCCAATTTGACTCATCAAATCGTCTGTCCTAGGTACTTCATTTAAATGGACTCATGTAGTGCTGTCTCTCTGTGTCTGCCTTAGTTCACTTAGTATAATGTTGTTAAGGCCGCACCATCTTTGATAAACGTTTATGTCTTTTTGCAACTCTGAAAGCTGTTTTCATCTATCAGATTTTATTTGGATTAAAAGCCCTAAGTATGTTTCCTTATCGTAAAAACAGTACATCACAATTGAGTATGTATTAGAGAGGAGGGAGAAACAAAAAAATGAAAATTATTTACTTTTTGTTATTTCTTTGTAAGAGCAAAGAGCTTCATTAGGGCTCACTATGGATGCTGCCCTTTAGGACAACAGCAAAAAAAATGATTCTTTTTTCTGTAGTTACTTATTCAAGTTCTACTTTGCTTAGGAAATTGTGTGGGAATGTTATATAACAGACACTTACTAATAAACCAATGTGGGGTTAGTTGTTCCATTCTCTTTTCCTTAAGGTTTTGAATGATTTCGGTAGATGACCCTCACAGTTCAGTAGTTCACCTCTGCTCTGAGAGCGGCTAAGTCTGACTTGGGTATATGTTTTGTTTGTATAACAAACGGGAAGATTGAATATCCAGTTGGAAAATACAGAACCAGCATTGCCAAGGACACTTCGATCCTCACTTTGGTTCTGGACTTGAAAATGAAGAGTGAGAAATTTTAGGAGCCCTCAGTCTTAACCTTCTCCTGGGCTCCTAATTCACTGCTTTCCTGTCAGTGCCTGGGAGCAGTGAGGTCGAGCTGTTTGACAGTGTGGGGTAATAAGGCAGGGTAGCGAGTATGTGGTCCAGCACCCTTCATTCCGC